CTGATAATAGGTATTGCAGCCCTGCGAAGATCAATCACATACTTATGTATGTACATACATATGCGTGTAAGAATAATTAAATCTCAAATGTANTACCGACAAACGGTTGTAGGGCCAAACAAGAAGAAGAAGTTCAGCTGAGTTTCTGATAATAGGTATTGCAGCCCTGCGAAGATCAATCACATACTTATGTACATACATATGCGTGTAAGAATAATTAAATCTCAAATGTTCCTACGACAGGGGGATAAGACAAACTGCGGACATCTTAACTAGTAACTTCGCTGGTAAAATTTCGTGGTGCGAGTAATATGAGTTCCATCTTAGGCGATTGGACTGGGTGTATACATATTATTATAACGGTTATTTAAAATGATATGTTACCGCTAAAAAGTATGCAATAAGTGGAAGCTAAGTACGTAATGTTTCAACAAACAAGCACCAGAGTGACTACAACGCACACACATCCATTATCTCCGAGTCGCTGTATGCTTGCGTAGCCAATGGCTATCGCTGTCTAACACAAGAAGTCGCCAACATAGCCAAGAGCAAGCACATTCTAGATGTTTCACGCGCACACATACATATGCAGAAGTGGAAACAATTTGATGGCGATCCACAAACCCATACGCAGAACGCTGAAACGCCACGCTGCCAACTCAATGCGACGGACGGGTGGTAAACAAGCGCAGCATGGTGAGCGCACTTGGAGCTGTCATTCCACCAACCAACCAAGCATCGAAGCTACATATGTATGTAGCTAGTGCTATTATTTTCATGTTTAAAGGCCTGTATGCAGCTCTCAAGAAAAGCAAAAACTCCATATAAAATGACGTACAAGAAATGGCTAAGAAATTTTCTTGAGTCAAATTTCCTTAAGGCAGTACGCAGTTCTTAAGAAATTTACTACGCTTTCTACTACGGTTTTCTAAAGTTTTTTGTGAAAAAAGACCACAAGGCAACCCAGGTTTGCAACAGAAATATATGCCCGTTCCATTATTTCTTGAGGAAAGAGTGAGGCAACAGGCTGTGAAGTATCAAAAAATGTCAAAATTCCTTGGACACACACGCGAAATAATGGCAATTTTTTCTTGACCGTTTTCTTGAGAGCTGCATACAGGGCTTAAGCATATTGTATGTTAATGTTTTTACNCTGGTAAAATTTCGTGGTGCGAGTAATATGAGTTCCATCTTAGGCGATTGTACTGATACACCCAGTACATATTATTATAACGGTTATTTAAAATGATATGTTACCGCTAAAAAGTATGCAATAAGTGGAAGCTAAGCACGTAATGTTTCAACAAACAAGCACCAGAGTGACTACAACGCACACACATCCATTATCTCGGAGTCGCTGTATGCTTGCGTAGCCAATGGCTATCGCTGTCTAACACAAGAAGTCGCCAACATAGCCAAGAGCAAGCACATTCTAGAATCGAGATGTTTCACGCGCACACATACATATGCAGAAGTGGAAACAATTTGATGGGGATCCACAAACCCATACGCAGAACGCTGAAACGCCACGCTGTCAACTCAATGCGACGGACGGGTGGTAAACAAGCGCAGCATGGCGAGCGCACTTGGAGCTGTCATTCCACCAACCAACCAAGCATCGAAGCTACATATGTATGTAGCTAGCACGATCCAGAAAATAAAGGTCGCGCCATTCGCGGACCGCTAACCGTCTCTTCGTCGATTTGACAGCATCCACCTAATCGCTGACGTCATAAAATACTTTTGTNGTCACACAAAAGTTATTCTCAAAAATCCTCTCTGATCGGCGCAATCTTGTATTCTATCATTCTTGTTTTTACTCGCTTTCTGTCCACAACCTGTCATAAGTTGTGGCGCTGATGGCGATTGTAGGCTCGTCGGGGCTTTGTGGGTAGCGCTAGAAACGTCATCAGCGAGAGCCCTCCCATACAAACGGTTTGTTGATTCCGGCTGCTCGTTGCCGCTGATTAGTTAGTATTTAGTGTTTTTCTCGCTCGCTGACACAGCGATAACAAACACTTCGCAAATATCTGATCGTTGTGATCTACTCGTTGCTGTTTTCTCTATTTGTCGCTATTGTCGTCGTCGTCGGTTAGCGATTTTGATGGATCGTCGCCGCAGTCATTGTCGTTGGCCGCGCATAGTCATCAACACAGTTGGTGATAGTGTTGTTGTTTTCATTTCGGTTCAATTTTTTTTTCAATTTCTTTGTGCTTTGCTTTTATTATTCACTACAATCTTCTTTTGTTTCTGCATTTATTAATCGTAATTGTTTTAGTTCATGGTGTGATCGTCGTTTTGTTATGGTGGAGTGGAAAGCACTGCAACTTATCAACGATTAAATTTTACCCATAGTCGCGAGTCTGTATCGGTCGTCGGTGCTTGCGTCTGTGCATTTAGCTTCTTTCGCTGTTGCTATTGTTTTCATATTTTTTTGTTTTATTTGTGCGGCAAATTACTAAAATTTTGTNGTTTTAGTTCATGGTGTGATCGTCGTTTTGTTATGGTGGAGTGGAAAGCACTGCAACTTATCAACGATTAAATTTTACCCATAGTCGCGAGTCTGTATCGGTCGTCGGTGCTTGCGTCTGTGCATTTAGCTTCTTTCGCTGTTGCTATTGTTTTCATATTTTTTTTTATTTGTGCGGCAAATTACTAAAATTTTGAGTAGAAATTACAAACATACATACACTTAGATACATGTACATACATATTTATAAACATACATCAAACACTCTCCTTTATCGGCCAAATGTACTATTATGTAGAAATTTCCGTGTGCACAGTGATAAAAAGCAATTGAATTTGCTAGGCAACTGATTAGCCAGGCGGCAGCTGTACATACATACAAACATATGTACACAAGTATAGCCAGAAAGTGAGTAGCAGAGCGAGTGAGTGAGTTAACTAGTGAGCGCGTATGTAGTGTCAATGGTCATTGCTGAAATCAGCGAAAGCAGACAAAGCACCACGCAGTGGGCAAAAGAAAATATGTACGAATAGACTGCAGCTGCTGAAAGACATTTCAAACGTCAATAAGGCTAAATAAAGAACTGCATAAATAGCAAGTGAGTTAACAAACGCAAAAATTTTCTTTGTACAGTGCCTCAAGAAAGAAATCGAACAAAGCATGAGTTTAAAAAAACCCAGCAATGTGATTTAATAGTACCACAGATTTTCNAACCCCCTCATTCGAAAGGGGACAGTCGCCACTTTACGAAAAGCCCTACCCCCCTTGGGGACCTCCCACAGACCCCTAGGGAACCGTTTGAAAATGGGGTAAAAACGGCATTTTCCGAGGCAAACTGGCAGTTTGAAGTGGAATATAACCCAACTAACGAAAACCGTGGGATTTTTAAATAAAAGAAATTATCCCAAGTTGGTTATCAGGCGATTTGAAAAAAAAAATAAACTAAAAAAAATAAACTAAAAATATTGTGAAATTAAGAAAAAAGCGACAGCTAGAAATGTTGTAGTAATAGTAATATGATAGTATTTTAGCGCAGAACTTCTTTTTGCGTAGGCGGCCTTCGGCCGCACTTAGGGATTATAACCCTCACTACGTAGAATTCTCTTCTGTGTTG